CGTGTTGTTGAATATGTTCCCCAATATGATGAGCAACCCAGCCCGCGTAACTTTGTTCCAGCAGAAAGGTTAACCCCAGTGTCCACAGCACTCCCGGCTGGTCCGTTGCCGGATGATACCTCTGGGTATATCCCAAGTTTTGCCGGCGAAGATGTCGCAAGAATGGCTGAGGTTGCTGAGGCCGATCCTCCTAGCGATGCAGCTGCTCCCAGCAGCCCACATGTAGATGTTCCGGAAGGTGCTGCTCCGAGCGCGCCATCTCACCCTTTAGATGATAAGTTGCTTGTTGAGTTAGGTGATGGTATCCCTATCAAAGATGAAGTCTTGAAAAAGGAAGCCACTAGCTTAGAGCATCTTTTGACTCACTATCCCAAAAATCCATATTGCCCATTATGCCGTGTTGCTAAGGATACTGCAATGCGTGTTTTTCATGTCAAGGACGGCAAGTCCGATGATAAGGTTGACCCTCCAAAGCAGCTCTTTGAACAGTTGGCCACTGATGATGTTATCTTTGCAAAAGGGTCTGAGCATTTTGGCACGGGGATAGGTGGAGTTAAAACACATCATGTGGTAAGGGACCTTTATTCTGGTGCACGAATAGCATATCCCCTATCTAAGCGAGATGTCGAGTCACATGCCAAAAACTTCCGACATTTCGTAGGGTCGTAGGGCTAAAAGCCAATGAACTTGCAACCTACACACCCATCAAAATGGATGAGACGCAGGAATTGGAGCAGGCTGCCCATCAGGTCGGCTTCGTTCCTGAGACCTCTCTTCCCAACCGTTGGCCGCATAATACTCTGTTTGAGCGCGACATCCGGGAGGAGAAAGAGTGTTGTAGGGTGGTTCATTTGCAATCTGGTTTGCCATATGAAAACTACACTTATAGTTATCCATACGCATGTCTTTCCATGACTTTTGATAGACCTTCTATTGCGGATCCCGAGAAGACCCAATGGGAAGCTCTTACTCGTGAGAAGTTCGATGGTAAGCGTTTGTGTTTTGGGCAACTTGTGTACTATCGCAGGAAGCATCCCACAAAGAGGACCCTAGAACCCAATATGGCTCCTGGCTTGTTTCTTGGTTGGCGAGTCGAGTCTGGTTTCCGGTATAGATATGTTGTTCGAATATTAGATAGTCAAGAGTTTCGAACCAGAGGTGCTTCATGTGTTTCTGATGTTCCCGAGCCTGAATTGTATCTTCCAGATGGTGACGCTTACTTTACAGTAGGTTATTCAAAGCACCAAGCCTTGATCAGGGGGGATAATCCAGATGATATCAAACTCCCCGAAATAGCCCTGGAAAATGTGCCGTTCCCGCCGGACGGTGGCCTAGCTTCCCCATCTACACCTGGTCCTAAACCTAGATCGGTTTAGATCACCTTAGACCGCATCATAAAGTTCAAGGAAACCCCTGGGTGTAAGGGATGTACATATAAGACTCGGTACCACACACCAGAGTGCCGCAAACGGTTCCAGAAACTTGTAGATGAAGAAAAGGAACTGGAAGAAAAGTCTAAGCCTGTTTCCGAGTCGGTAGTAGTTGAACCTCCAAGTGAGGTTCCCGATGCACTTGAGGATGTTCCCGTGGAACCACCTCCGGTAGACAGCATTTTTGATGATGAAGGTGAAATCACACTTGCTGTTCCGTATAATGTTTCTGGTGCTGCCACTCTTCCCCAGACGTCTCCCAGTTGTGCTGAGTTGCGTAGGGGTTCCTTGCCAGTGTTCGGTGCACAGCCCGTGCCTTCTTGCCCCGCAGTTAATCAGCCTCCTAAAAGTAATGATAACCGTCGAAAACGACGTGCCGCCAAAAAGAGCCAGAGGCCCAGTGAGAGATCAACACTGTTTGAGTTTGCATGCTCCCTCAACTCACAACTTGGGTTGACAAGTGTTCAATGCAATATAAATCACATTGGGGTAAGCAAGGAAAGGATAGACCTAGGTGATGAAAATCAATGTTCCCAACTTGATTACCAAATAGAAGCCGCTAAGGTAGCACCTCCTCACCTTTGGTCGTCCATACCATGCACGTCTGGTTCCCCTTGTCTGTACATTAATAGAAAGAAGGGAGGAGCTGCTTACATGAAACGCCTAGCGCTCCAACTCCGAGAATCGAAAAGACTCTTCAAAAGCTTTACAAAAAGGGCTGAACAAGTTTTGAACCTAGGAGGCACTGTTTCTTTTGAATGGCCACTTCCCTCGACTGGCTGGAAGAGACCAGATGTCGTAGCTTTCTTTAATTCACACCTGGAGTTTATGGAGGTCGAATTCGATGGATGCGCACTGGGCCTTAGATCCAACAAGGGTAATCCCATCAAAAAGCCCCGGCGTGTCAAAACTACATCCCAACGAGTAATAGATGCGTTTGAGCATCCACACGAAAAGTGTGAGGGATCAGAAACAGCGCGGTCAGCTATGTATCCTCCCGAGATGACATTTTTGATTACCCAAGCGCTGTACCCAGCCAAGTGCGCACAACAACATGCTCCCGCTATGCCATGCACACCCCTTTCTAGTGAACCGCAAGAGCATCGAGAAGTTGAGCAACATCTTAAGCACGTTTCCCCACTATCTAGCCTTGGCCGTAGAAACCGATCCAACTGTAAACAATTTAGTCGCGGAGCTCTTAGACCATGATCGTTTGTTATCTCAGGCCCTCGAGCACGAGGATGACACTCGACCCTCCCAGAAGGTTCAAGCTATGGTAACTAAGTTGCTCTCTCGTGCGGAGATGCTCTCCAACCCCAAAGCCCTTGAGGCAGACGGGCTCATCAAGGCTGGGACTTGGTCTCTTGACTCAGTAAGGGAGAAGGAAGATGTACGTGCAGAAGCAAAGCGCACCGGTGTCTCCGTCCACTTCGGACAATTGATGACCATTGCATCCATTAAGTTCTATGAACTTGCACAGCACCTACAGAAGATGAAGGGTAGGATAGACTACCGAGGAGACTGTGCAAAGGACGAACATGGTGCCGCAGCGGTTTATCAGGAGCTGAGGGCAAATCCAACTTCGGTTCAGGGCTTGAATGCATGTTTAGCATATGGTTTATTGCCAGGCCATAGTTCATCTGCAGCCGGTGCAGTTAAGGCATACGTTCAGGCACTCCTGTCTTCCAAATACAGGACATGGATAGAACTTCCGCCAGAACTAAGGCCTAAACACTGGCGTGATAAGTTTGTTAAACCCGTAGTCCTCTTAGTTAAAGCCCTCTATGGACATCCAGATGCCGGTGGTCTTTGGGAGCAGCATCTAAAGAAAATTATTAAAAACTTAGGTGGCCAAGAGGTACCCGAGTACCCAGGCAATTTCTTCTTTCCCGATACGAAGTTGTTGCTGTCCACATATGTAGATGATCTTACGTTAGCACGCCCCACTGAAGAGCATGAGCCATTCTGGGCTAAACTAACTTCGGTTGCCGATATAGAGCCACCTGAACCAATATACCGAATTCTAGGTCGCAATCATCTAGTGATGCCATTGTCTAAAACTGAAGGTTCCGAGGAATGTGCTGCGTTTCGCGCACAAGAAGCCTTAGTCTTTGACATGCTAGATTATGCACACCAAACAGTGGACCTTTATAAGTCCATCACCAACACGAAAAGTTTGAAGCATGCAGCCACACCCTTTGTTCCTGATGGTTCTGTTACGATAGATGATGAAGAAGCAAAAGGTGAGCTGGCTCCTAATGCATGCTGCATTCTTATGAAGGCGTTGTGGCTTGGTCGACTGTCCCGACCTGACATAATCAAACCTATCAACGATTTAGCCACTAAGGTGCAGTCTTGGTCCGGGGGACGACAAGAGGTTGTTAAGGCTTATCCAATACATAGACTCAACACCACAGTACCGACTTGTCGGTACCATTAAGATAATCCCGAAGACTTGTTAGTGGGAAATCCACATCCGGTGGGTATTTAGTCCTGCATGGGCCTAACTCCTTCTTCCCCCTTGGGTTAGTAAGCGCCAAACTTCTACATCACGTTCAACAACTGAGTCGGAAGTGGTGTCGCTGGCTTACTCCCTTTACCAAGAGGGCCTACCAGCTCTACAGCGCACTGTGACGCTTAAGGTCTTGGAAGATAACCAAGCTACCATCCTGGTAGTACGTAAAGGTTATTCCCCAAAGCTTAGGCATATAACCCGAACCCATAAGGTGAATTTATCCGGTCTCAGAAGTATTCCGCGAAGACTCTGCCGAGTTGGAGTACTGTAAGACAGATGATCAGACCGCTGATATCTTCACGAAAGCGTTGCCGCCCCAAAAGTGGGCCCCGGCACGTCGCTTATTAGGCGTACGCACTGACTTAGGTAGCAAACTCCGACCCAAGGAAGGGGCTGCGTCCTCGCGCCCCACCTAGTCCAGTAGGTAGACGTCTCCAATATTACGACCCCATTACCCCCACTGTATAGTCTACTTATATAGTTCACTACATGCGGTGTAGCTGTAGCTATGATTCCAACATCCGAATAGTGTTGTGCAGTGAATACAATGCACAACAAGCTTTAATATATCCCCAGGTTATAGGCTAACCTGTTGGGGTAGTAACCATGTTTATTTAGGGATCGTTATCGCCTAATGACGTATGGCTCAAGCGTCCGAGTAAAAAGGACGTTTGCTGATTTTGATGTTGAGGAGTCCAACTTGGTTCTTTTCTTGTTGTTCCCCTCTTTTCCCTCATATAATATGTATATATGGAAACAATCCAAGAATGGTGGATCTTCAATTTCGATATTACCATTGCCACCCAGACGACTATGAATTCACATGAAGTCTTGATTCTGGTGTTTGGGGTGGGTTCGGAATAGCCCCGACAGATTGTCTCAGTGGCTTGTTGTGAAAGATGGCATCAAGTAGGTCGTGCTCATCCCACGGAACCCTTACCTAGGTGTACTCATATGATCATGCATCTCAACTCGGAAACTGATAGTCCTAGTAGCAAACAACTTGTGGGTAGAAGGGGCCTCAGCTGTTGGACTTGCGATCATATGGGGTGATCATGGTGGCTATTACTAACAGTGACAGTCATAGACAATCACCCAAGCTGCACACGGTTTTTTTCAGGAGTTGAAGTCGCAGAACTCCTCCAAGTTCATGCGGGAGCAAACTGCCGCGGTGGGCACGGATCTGTATCATGCTCCCGAGTATGGGAAACAAAAGATGTACGATAGCGAGAAAGCGGACGTGTTCACTGCCACTTGCCATCACTGGTTTGTGTAGTTTCTGTGGCCTCTGGAACCCGCCCAAGAAACAAATTCTCTACATTATGTTTGGCTTTTGGTTTGGCCTTCTGTTTTTGTTCAACCAAATGACTTCAAACCATCAGCCTGAGATTAGCACACAGATATGTTGCATAGTTCCTGCTTCCGTTCCTAGGTGGCCCCAGCCAACTCCCAGAAAAAATCAGCCGCATTCCAAGCATAGTTTGGAGCCTTTCTTTCCAGTTTGCTGCAACTCCGGGTGCGCTGAGGTGGGGATCTTGGTCTTTTTGCTGCGGCAGCCCATCCCACCGTTCCATCCCTACTTTGGCGGCCTGAAGGTCATCACTGACGAGGGTGCTAGTGAGAAATGGTGGGCTCACAAGGACTGAGGAAGAAAATTGTGGTAGCTTTCGTTGGCGTTGCCCTTCTGTGTTTTTTTGGCCAAGTCAACTGCTGTTACCAAGCAAAACATGCAAACATGCTACCAACATGCCACCAACATCCACCGACCCCTCAGGAGTGTGCCCAGTTTGCTGGTGCAGATGGGCTGAAAAAACTGATCAATTGCCTTTGGGCGCTCACTCCAGAGAAGAGGCCCACCTTTAGAGAGCTTCAAGCAGCGATGGCTGGAGATAAAGAAATCTTGCAAGCCTTTCCAGGAGCCTTTAGTGGGATAGGGGCGTCATGATGCATTCGATTGTTTCGCCACCACCCAGAATGTGCAACTAGACACATGAGCCGCGCAAATGCACACGTTCCTGCAACAACATGGCGAATGATTGCAAATGAAGGCAACTCCATGAATGCCTGCTCCGAGTGTACTTGGTACCCTTATAACCATCATGAAATTATGGTAGCTGCAAAGTTGGTTTGACAAGGAACTTCAGATTGGTTATCTTGGTCCTTGGTGCAGGACTGGGTTGGCTCTCCGGGCCACTGAGTGGCCCCTTGGAGTACGTCCGGGAAGTGCGCGCGCGTCGCCCCAACCTGTCGCTGAAGTGCACGGGAGTGGTTGAGGCCCCGGTGGTGGACCTGGTAGGACCTAGCGATGGGACCTATTCCCATCCCCGCCTTACTGTGGAACAATCTAGACTCATATAGACCAAGGATATCCAAGAATGGTGGGTTTACCAATTAAGACTGATTGCAGATGATTACAGAATATAATTCTACAAGAAGACCTACAGCAATGGTGTCAACCCTTATCCATGCGAGATGCACACGGACCCAATACCTTCCTCCAAAATGAGGAATGGACATTGCTCAAAGATTTTTGGCCACTCACCCTGTCTCTGTGCGATGGCGTCTCGAACCACTGCTCTCCCAATCTGGAAAAATTAGCTTGGTACTAGGCTAAAAACGAATGTGGCCACATTGGTTTCCAGAAAAGTAGTTTTTCTCCATCAACATTGCGCAAGCGTTTAATTGGTATTCCTCAATGGATGGACACCCCGCAATTTGCGTGGTTATTTCCATTTTTTTCTATCCTTGCTGGCTCCCAACCCCCCATTCGCTAGGCGCTGGCCCTGTACAACCGCGGCTTCGACAGTGCAGACGTGGCCTTCCAAAGTGCCAACAGCAGTGGCAGCGGAAAGCTGCTGGCTGAGGAGCTCACTGAGAAGTTGAAGCAACGGAACGCGGCCATCACCGCTGAGAGCGTGGCGGATCTGATGAATCGCTACATGACCAAGGAATGTCACGTGGAGATTTTGATGGATTTTGGTTGGGGATGGTGGGTTCCGGATGGGGGGTACTGGAGATTTTTTTGCGGCCTGGTGGGGGTAGTTAAGTTAGTAGTTTATGGAAACTTTGCTGGATGAGGAATTCTGATGTGGATTTGTTGGGGTTCGATGAGAGGAAAACATAGGAATTCGAAGCTGTGTCAGGGTGCCAGCCGGCAATATCTATGACCCCACAATTCGGCCTGGACTTTACTTAGCCAAGCAATCAACCACAAAGCCGTTTTGGTGAGAGCATCCATTGCAGGTGGCCTGTTCTTGACTGCCACCAATAAACAAACCATGTGTAAGCAGTTTGCTTGGTAAATTTGAATTGTTTTTTTTCCAAATCTATGAGAGGGGTCCGGAGTTCATCCAGGGACAGTTGCATATTATCAAGGCCAGGTAGCCAACCGACTTGTGGAAAGCCCAGCAGGGTCTCCTAACCCACTTGTGGATATATGTGGATATACAAAATCGCATGACCTCTTGTGCACCCTCGCCCATTCTTCGTCAGTCATGGTCAGTCCCCGTGTTGTTTATGGGCCAACGAGCCAACCAGCAGCGCCACGGTGTAAGGTCAGCAGATGACCCTGGAGCAGTACCGTGTCATGGCCAAGGCTTGGGAGTTTGGGGGGCGGCCCATCGTGCACGACGTTGGGAAGATGAACTCCAGGCACTTTGCATGGACACCCAGGCGCCATGCAGGGAAGGTGATGGCTGGATGGAGATGGTAATTCCAAAGTTTGGAGATGAACAGGTAGAGGAAAAGTCAGTAGTGTGGTCAAAGCTTCTGTTCAAAAGCATTCAAAAGCACTATATGCTTCCGTTCAAAACTTTGGCCTTCCATTGACTCCGCAATTTGGACATGCCGGTGCCTTCAGCCCTTCGCACCGATACAGGCAGAGTAGCACATCGCTGCAAGATGAGATTAAGCAGTTCACTGAAGCCGTGTCGAAGGCCTTCAAGTCAGCAGGCTATGGCGTGGAGGCGGTAGATAGCTCTGTAGACGCTAAGAACTATGTGACTTGGCAGAGGGCCATGGTGCAGGGACCAGAGCGCCTGAACATAGATGAAAAATGATGAACAAATCGTGAAACATATATATATATACAATTATACATATATATATATTTTTTAGATAGGCGAAGAGGGCTTCTTTGATGTGGTATTCTCTAAGTAATTAAATGGCTTTGGACTTTGGATTTTTGAAAATCCAAGGAACATCTGGTCCAAATTCCAAATCCTTCTTGAGTCTTTCTTGGATTCATTTACTGTAGCTTTGGTGTTGTTTTTCAAGCTCTACTCTCGCTTTCATTGGAGGGGTCGCTGCATGACAAATGTGTTTGCAAAATGGAATTTGAACAACAACCTCCAGGAGCCAAAGGGGAAAACCGGGAAAAAAAACTAATTTTTACTAGCTCTTTTTGGGTGATTTTCTAGGTTTGAGAGTTTTTTTTTTTTTTAAAATCGTTTTTTTTTCTAGTTTTTTTCTAGCCCAGTAAGACTAGATTAGGCTAGAAAGGCCAGCGATGGGTGAAGGCCTTCAATATTGGCATGGGGTTCAAAAATTATATTTAAGGCATCAAAAAATAAATATTTAAGGCATCAAAAAAAATTTAAGGGATCAAAAAAAATATTCATGTTTCCTGCGCTGGTGCAGTGTTTTGGCCCTGTTATGCCATTTTCAAATCTTGTGGTCTTTGAATCTCCCGGTCCTTCAGTCCTCTCCCTTGGTCCCCTGGTCCCTTGGTCCTCTGGTCCCTTGGTCCTTTGGTCCCGTGGTCTTTTGGTCCTCTGGTCCCTTGCTCCTCTGGTCCCTTGGTCCTCCGGTCCCTTGGTCCTCTGGTCTTCTGGTCCCTTGGTCCTTCCGTCCTTTGGTGGCTCTGGTGCCTTAAACCATTTTGAAGATAATCCTTAATTCAACCAGCCGTAAAAAAAAACTAAATCAGCCTCAATAACCCCTAAACTACCCCCCAAGCCAAAGTAAGTCTTAAACGAATCCTAAACCAACCCTCAATCAGCCCTAAACTAACCCTAAATAATCCCTAAACAAATCTTACATAAACCCTAAACGAAACCTAAACGAACCTTAAATAAGTTGTAAGCGAAACCAAAATCAACTTTAAACCAATCGCAAATAATCCCTAAACCAACCCCAAATAAACCCATCTAAGCCACCCCTAAAACTATAAACCAACCGTAAATAAGCCCTAAAGAGCACTTATTAAACAATCACGAACCAACCCTAAATAAATCCTAAGCCAACCCAAATAAACAACAAACCAACCCTACATAAATCCTAAACGAACCTTGAACCAACCAGAAATCAATCACTAAACCAACCTTAAAGACACCGGAAACAAGACCTACATAGGCTTTAAACCAAGCCAAAATAACCCCTAAGCCAACCCTAAAGAAACCCTGAGCCAACCCTAAATAACACCTAAACCAACCACGACCCAATCCCCAATACATCCTGAATCAACCCTAAATAAACTTTGAGCAGCACCTACAAAACTCTTAGTACCAACCCTAAACAAACCCTAAAACCAACCCTACATATACCCTAAACAAATCCTAAACCAACCCTAAAGAAACAAACAACCAACCCTCAATAGATCCCAAACGAAACCTAAACCACAAAGGCTTGAACGAAATCAAAATAAACCCTAAACCAACCCTACATAAACACCAAAAAACTTTAAATAACTTTAATACTATTCGAACGAAACCTTTAAACAATTTTACCAACCCTGAAGAGACACCTAGTATATAAACCATAGGCCAACCCTAAACTAACCCTAAACCAACCTAAGTCAACGTAATAGGCATCAAACCAAGCCTGAATCAACCCTAAACCAAACATAAACAAACTTTAAACCAACGTAAGTTTCAAAGCAACCATCGAAAATCAAAAATTCGAACTCCAAAGTGTTGCAGGTGCTGTCGAAACGGCAGCGTCGAGAAGTGCGAATGCTCGATTTCTAGGTCCAATGTCCTGCAAAAAACCTTACGGGCGAGAGGCTCCACTTCCAAAACGATGCAAATACCACAGAAATGCTCAGTTTTGTCTCCAAACTGTTGCAAGGGCCATAGAAAACAAGGGATTCCAGGGGAAGATTTTTTTTGATGTCTTAAATATATATTTTTTGATCCCTCATCCCTATTCAAGGCAGGGGTTCTGGTCGCGAAATATGGAGGAACAACCTTGGTAAAAACAAGAATAGCTTGGAAAACAGGCAAATAGCAGCGCAGCTGAGTGCAGGATGGGTCAGCGGACTCAGCCACTTTTCTTCTGTTCTGTTTTTTCTGCTTTTCTTTAAATTAATCCAGTTTTTACTTCGACTTTGCTAGCTCCAACTAGCTGCATTTTCCCCGAATGCGTAGCAAGGGTTCCCGTTTCACTCTGGGGGTCTGGGGGTGGAGGGTGTGTTCGCTCGACATCGCCCCACCGTTCGCAACCGCGCAATCCCCGTATGGCCGTGCCTATGGTAAGTTTTGCAAAAGGGGTCACCTTTGAAGGTTTCACATGTGGCGTTGCTTCGTTTCGCGTGGCAGGCGTGGCACTTCGTGACATTCAGACGTGTTTGGTAACGGGTCGAAAGTCGTTTTGTGTGGCAGGCGCAATACTTTTGCGACGTTTTCAGAAGATGTGTTGCAGTTTACGTGGCAGGCGCAGCACTTTGGACATGTCCATCGTCATTTTGCGGGGCAGGCGCAGCACTTTAGACGTGTCGTGTTGCGTGTTTTTCCGAATCGCATTGTCAGGGCTGCGTCAAGTGGCGACAAGGTGCAAATTCCATGGCAGGCGTGGCATTTTGTGAGATGTGATGAAAATTGACGGAAGCCTCGCACGAAACATGAATTTTGAGGTAGCAAATTTTTCTGGTTCTAAAGAAACCCGTAGGAAAACATTGATTTTGAAGCTACAAAGTGTCAAAATTGGAGAGAGTCTCGCACGAAATGCTCGTTTTGATGCTCCCACGTGTCTCGTCCCGAGTCTCTGGTTTTCCTATGGCCTCGCCGTGTCTATGGGGGAAGCTGCAAAACCTCTCCTTTTCGAAGGTTTCCAAGCAGGTTGTCATGTCGTTTTGCCTGGCAGGAGCTGCACTTTGTGACATTCCAACCTGTTTGATAACGTGTCGAAAGTCGTCTTTTTTGTGGCAGGCGCAATACTTTTGCGTCAATTTCATAAGATGAGTTGCAGTTTTCGTGACACGCGCAGCATTTTAGAGATCTCTGTCGTCATTTTGCGTGACAGGCGCAGCACTCCAGACTCCACACTCCACACTCCACACTCTGCACTTTACACTCCGCACTCTACACTTTACACTCCACACTCTACACTCCACACTCCACACTTTACACTTTACACTTTACACTCCACACTTTACACTTCACACTTTACACTCCACACTCTACACTCCACACTTTACACTTTACACTCCACACTCCGCACTCTACACTCCACACTCTATACACTCCACACTCAATACTTCACACTCCACACTCCACACTCCACACTCTGCACTTTACACTCCACACTCCACACTTTACACTTTACACACTACACTCTACGCTCTACACTGTACACTCCACACTCCACACTTTACATTCTACTCTCCACACTCTACACTCCACACTCCACACTCCACACTCTACACTTTACACTCTACACTTTACACTCCAAACTCCACACTCGACACTTTACACTTCACGCTTTACATTCCACACTTTACACTCTACACATTACACTCTACACTTTACACTCTACACTTTACACTGCACACTCCACACTAGACTTTACACTCCACACTCCACACTTTACACTCCACACTCCTTACTTCACACTCCACACTCCACACTACACTCTAAACTCCACACCCCACACTTTACACTCCACACTCTGCACTTTACACTTTACACTTGACACTCCACACTTTACACTCCACACTCCGCACTTTACACTCCACACTCTAGGCTCTACACTTTAAACTCTACACTTTGCACTCTACACTTTACACTCTACACTCTACACTCCACAACACTTTACACTTTACACTTTACACTTCGAACTCTACTCTTTAGACTCCACGCTCTACGCTCCACACTCTAGGATTTACACTCCACACTCCACAGTCTACACTCCACACTTTACACTCCACACTCCACACTCTATACTCCACACTCTACACTCCACGCTCTACACTCCACACTTCACACTCTACACTCCACACTCCACGCTCCACACTTTACACTCCACGCTTTACATTCCACACTTTACACTCTACACTTTACACTCTACACTTTACACTTCACACTCTACACTCCACACTTTACACTTTACACTCCTCACTCCTCACTCCACACTTTATTCTCCACACTTTACCCTCCACACTCTACACTCCACACTTTACACTCTACACTTTACACTCTACGCTCCACACTCCACAGTTTACACTTTACACTCCACACTTTATTCTCCACACTTTACACTCCAGACTCTACACTCCACACTCCACGCTCAGCACGCCACCTTCTTCCATATTCCACAGTCTACGGTGCACTGGTATGGTAACAGGGGACAAATGTACACGACTATTCAAATAAACTGTTTCACAAAAGTGTTCTACGTGACTGTATATCCATGTGTTTCGACATCTGTACCATTAACATACGTGTGAGCATGCGGGTTCGTGGGCTGCATCTTGTTTTCCTTTCTGATTTGGAGTGGCCCTGATCAAAGCGGCCCTGTAGGGGTTTCAGTATCATCAGCCAGAGGAAAGTAGGCCACCCTTGGGAGGCTGGTTTTGTTTCTGAATTTAAAGCCTACTTCTTGCAATCTTCTGCTTGCCCATTTTTTTGAATTGAGTCATCATGTACATCTTTGTGGGTTTTCAATCGCTTCATCCAAGGAGAACTCAACAGCCTTCACGGTGAGCATGGGCAGTCATCTTTGTCGCTTGAGGGTGAGCACTTTCACCCTGGAGGACAAACTCCTGGTGCAAAGTCCCTTGGTTCAAATTGGTTAGTTAGATCACATTGGCCAGCAGGATGGATCAAGTTGGTAGTTATATACATGATGCATGCATGAGTGGATAGATGATGCATGTTTGCAAAGAGTCATTGGGTTTTTGGACAGGTGATCCGCTGTAGTTCAATTCAGCATGATAGTCCCGGCATGTAGGTTTTTGTATGAGTTTTGTAATCTTCCAGGAGGCAATGGGTGCAAAAAAGAACAGGTCGATCGCCAGTTGCACGTAAATTCAACAAATAGAAGCATTAAAATCATCCATTGTTCGTTCAGTCTGTTCTATATTGCAAGGGTGCCTTGCTGCAAACATGTCAAGAGTCACCACTTAGTCACCACTTAGTCACCACTTAGTCACCACACTCGAACAAAAGATGTTGGCCAAACCATGCCAAATTCATTCATCCTCCACAAAGGTAGAAGGTTGTGGGGTTCCTCGGTGGAAGAGCTCTTGATGCTCCAGCAGATGAACAATGATTTGGTAGAGATTTGGGGAGCTCGTGCTCCGCCACCCAACTCTCTTGCTCATCCATAGTGGCATGCCAATGGCAATGTTTCACCGAAGCTTTTTCGGCGGTTGGTTTCTTGTTGCAGTCGGCACATGAAATGTGACCCTTCGCTTGGTGCCGCTGGTGGCATTGTGAATTCACATGGCCACACGCAGAATCGCTGCGTGGCACCGGGCCCGACCCAAGAAGTGGCAGGGAACCAGCTGGGCGGATAAACGGGTGGGGGAATCTGAGGGATGGACATCCACATGTTTACCATGCCAGTAGCGATCGTTTTTATGTCATGACCAATTTGAAATATGGTTTAGAGGACCCCACCAGATCCTACTAGGAACTATACATTTATATTTGTTTGCAGCCCGCAACATATCCAAAAGAAACAAAGTTGTCAGCGAAGCGTTGTTCAGGATCAAGCCAGTTCTGTCTGTTTGGCCCTCACAATCGGTGGGTTTCACATATCATATGCCCTTTAGATTCACCGGCCTTCACCTGCCTTCACCAGCCTGAGAGACAACCGCTGAGGAAGCTCAAGGTTGAGTTGAAGGCTGGGCATAAGCTTGATTCCAAGCCTGTGCCAAGGCAGTAAACCGAAAGAAGGTAACTTAAAAAGGATTGTCCAAAAGTTCAAAAAAGTCAAGGCTTTGAAAAACAGATTTGGACAGGATTTATCTTCTGGATTCTGACTTTCAGGTGGTCCGGGCCTATAACGCGAAACAATCCCGAAAATAAAACAAAAAACATCATAAATATATAGTTCAAACATGTTCATTTTCCGGATACGTCCTTGGTACATCTTGAATATCTACCATGTTAGAATATTTGACTTTGGTAATATTGATGAATGCCTGGGAAATAACTACTCTAGAATCAATTTTAAACCAATGAGCATAAAATTGGCTTTGGTAATTAAACATTTCGAATTTTCCGAGGAAAACATACCTATATAAACATGTATCTACATAGATTATACATTGACAATAGTTAGGTGAGATATTATACAATGATAAACAATATTTATTCAAGAGAGGGTACGTGTTGGCATACATTTGAAACATGCAAGCTTACAATTTCAAGATATCCCATACATATATATATGTATATATACTGCGCTTAATTGTTCATTTTGATTGACGATTTTATTGCTTAAGATTGAATGTTCAAAGTTGTAAGGCTTACGGGTTAAACTGGGTCAAACATCAGGGTTTAATGTCGTATGTTCAATAATTGAAGGTGTATAGAGTTAAGTGTCTCAGGTCAGGTCGAATGTTGGGTGGTCCAAGAGGGTACAGTAGGCTCGAGGTTCAAGGTATGAGGGTAGATGCGGACAGGTTAGGGCCCAAAGGGAGGGTGGAGGATCAAGATTTTAGGATATTTTAGGGTCGGGTTGAAAATTTAAATTAGAAAATAAAAAATAAATGATTAAAATAAAATAAAAAATATTATTAAATTTTATTTTAATTTTAAAATAAAAAATTATATATGATTGAAAAAAATAATAAAAATATATAAAAATTAAATTATAAATATTATTATATGATAAAATTAAAAAAAATTGATGATAGGGGATAAATTTAAAAATTATATTAATTTAAATTATTTGGAAATATAATGCAATTATTATATATAAATATTGGTGAAGAATTATTTGATTTTTTATTGGTTCTTTTAAAAAAACCAATTTTATAATTTAATATTTTATAAATAATTGAATTTAAAAATAAAATTATTTTTTGATTTTGATTTTTTTTATATTAATATATATTGTTTGTTTTATAAATTATATTTATATTTATATATATATATTAAATATTATTATTATTATTTTAAATATATTATATTTTTTAAATTTATATATAAATATTTATAATATACTTAAGAAATTGAGATATTGGATTTCTTAATTATCTTTTGAATTAATTTTTATTTTATGATTTTATTTAATTTATAATCACGAAAGCTAGCGTCAGCTAGCTGGAGTCTTCTTGCTTTAGCAAGTATTGGGGGGGGCTGCTCAAGGACATCACGTGATTTTTCACGCGAAAGGCCCCCCCACCACCACCACCACCACCATCATCACCATCACCACCACCACCACCATCACCATCACCATCATCATCATCATCATCGTCATCATCATCGTCGTCATCATCGTCATCATCATCGTCATCGTCCTCTCCATCGTCCTCGTCCTCGTCCGCGTCCTCGCCATCATCATCATCATCCATCATCCATCATCCATCATCCATCATCCATCATCCATCATCCATCATCCATCATCCATCATCCATCATTCATCATTCATCATCCATCATCCATCATCCATCATTCATCATTCATCATTCATCATTCATCATTCATCATTCATCATTCATCATTCATCATTCATCATTCATCATTCATCATTCATCATTCATCATTCATCAATCATCAATCATCATTCATCATTCATCATTCATCATTCATCATTCATCATTCATCATTCATCATTCATCATTCATCATTCATCATTCATCATTCATCATTCATCATTCATCATTCATCATTCATCATTCAATCATTCAATCATTCAATCATTCAATCATTCAATCATTCAATCATCAATCATCAATCATCAATCATCATTCATCAATCATCATTCATCATTCATCATTCATCATTCATCATTCATCAATCATCAATCAATCATCAATCATCAATCATCATTCAATCATCAATCATCATTCAATCATTCAATCATTCAATCATTCATCATCATTCAATCATTCAATCATTCAATCATTCAATCATTCAATCATTCAATCATCATTCATTCAATCATTAATCATCAATCAATCATCAATCATCAATCATCATTCAATCATTCAATCATTCAATCATTCAATCATTCAATCATCAATCATCAATCATCAATCATCAATCATTATTCATCAATCATCATTCATCATTCATCATTCATCAATCATCATTCAATCATCCTTCAATCATCCTTCAATCATCCTTCAATCAT